TGAGCTTAGTCTTATTGTTTCTCCTCTGTATGTGACTTCTTGTTTTTCACGAGCTGCTCTCAGGATTCTTTGTTTGTCTTTGCTTTTGGCGAGTGTGATTATGATATGCCTTGGTGATTTTCTTTTGGGGTCTATTCTATATGAGGTTCTTTGAGCTTCTTGGATGGCCAGCTTTTCATCTTTCGTGATATTGGGGAGTTTTCTGTCAGCAGTTCTTCAATGATCCTCTCTGTGTTTTCTGTTTTCTCCTCCTGTTCTGGAACTCCAATCACTCGCTAATTTTTGCTTTTCATTGTATCCCACATAACTCTCAGGGTCTCTTCATTTTTCTTTGTTCTTTTTTCTGAGTTTTCCTCAAACAGACTTGTATCCAAGTGCTTGTCTTCAATTCCACTGACCCTGTCTTCCGCTGTTTCAAATCTGCTTCTCAGCCCTTCTATGACACCGTCCATTTCTGAAATCTTGTTGTTTATGTTTTGGATTTCAAATTGTTGTTTTTGTATAATTTCTAATTGTGAATTTATTTTGGCTTTTTGCTCCTGCATTATTTTCCTGAATTCTTCCAATTTTTTGTCTGTATTTTCCATGAATTTGTCTATTTTTTCTCATTTTTGTCTGCTTTTTGCTTTAGCTCTTGGAGAATTCTGAGTATTAGAGATTTGAATTCCCTATCAGGTAATTCTAGTGCCTTTTCTTCCCCTGGAAAGTCATCTGGTGTTTTATTTTGGACACCTACTGGAACCATCCTCTCCTGTGTTTGTAAATGTTTTGATATTGTCTGCTGTCTTTGGGGCATTTAGTAGTTATTTTTCTCATTTATTGATTGTAGATTTGTTTGTTGCGTCCCTTTTTTTTAAAAATTTGGCTATGTCTGAGCAGGCGAGCTGTGTGTTCTTTGTTGTTTGCTCGTCTGTGGGCACAATACTTTTTGCTTCCTTCTCCAGTTGGCAGGGTCAGTCATTCAGATATGGTATGGCAGGGCAGGCCTAGCTGAAGAGGAGTTACTGGGACGGGTTGTTTGTGGCACTTACTACAGCCACCACGGCGGGTCAGTAATCAGTGCAGGGCAGGTTCCAGTTGGCAGTGCCTGTGTTGCTTGGCAGTGTGATGTTAAGTGCACGGTGCACATAGCCAGGATGTAGAGGGGAGATTGTTATTTGTGGAGCTAAGATGGATATGGGAGAGAGGAGAGAGGAACAGGAACCAAAAACATAGAAAGAAATAGAAAAGAATACTAGGGGAGCTTGCCATTGGAGTGGAGAGATGAGAGACTATGAAATGGAGAAATACAAAAAGGGGAAGAGGAAGAAAAAAGAGAAAGGAAAAGAAAAGAATGAATAAATAAAAATCGGAAAGGTTAAAGAACCACAAAGTTCCCAGGGATCCCAACGGTGCAGCTATGAGGTCTGGGGACGTCGCTCTCAGGTGTTGCAGTGCAGCCTGGCTAGAAGGCGTAGAGGTATACAACGCCAGGTATTCACGGAAGAGAAAGAGCAGGAAGATATAGAGATACGAGAAACTGAGTAATGAAGAAAGACAAAAAGGGAAAAAGAGGGAAAAGAAAACAAAACAAATGGATAAAAAAAGAACAAGAAAAGCCCCCCAAAAAGAGGAAAAAAAAAAAAACGAAAAGAACACCAATGAGAAAAGAAATCCTCTCAGGAATCTCTCTGCACGTGTGTGCAAGCCAAGAGGGTAGTTCCAAGCCACGCAGCACCGCCTGGCCAGAACAGGTTCCCAACTCAAAAAAAGGAAAAGAAAACAAACAATCCAAAACAAACGAACTAAAGTCCCGGGATCCCACCAACACAGCAGCCCAGACTGGGAAGCAGCTCCACACTCGAATGGAGCTCCACAGCCCCTGAGGAAGAAGCAAAGATGGCTCATGGAGCCAGGTATTTGAGCAAAAGGAGGGGGAGGTGATGAGAAGTAAGGAAAAAATCAAAAGAAGTGGAAAAGAAGCAACACCAGCAGCCAACAAATGGCACTCAGAGAGCCAGCTAGTGCAGGCTGGTGGAATCCAAGCAGTCAGTGCCTCCCGGACAAGAGACTGTGTCTGCGGGAAGCAGAGGAGGCCAAGTGTGGGTGAAGAATGGTATGGGTTGGGAAAGCGTATATCACAAATTACTGGAGCTCCGCGGCCTCTCAGGAAGAAGCAAAAATGGTGCACGGAGCCAGGTATTTGAGCGAAAGGAGGGGGAGTTGGTGAGAGGTAAGGAAGAAATCAAAAGAAGCGGAAAAAAGCAACACCAGCAGCGAGCAAATGGCACTCAGAGAGCCGGCCCATTCGGGTGGGTGGAAATCCAAGCAGCCAGTGCTTCGCAGATGAGATTGTGACCGCAGGAAGCAGAAGAGGCCGAGTGGGGATGAAGAAGGGTGGGAGGTGGGAAAGCATATATCGCAAATTACCTGTTGTTTTGTCTCCTGCTGGAAGCTTCGTGAAGCTGCTTTCTAGTACCCCTGTTTGCTGGTCTCCGATAGTTTCCAAGATGGCGGATCTGTGCTGTGTTAGCTGATAGGGGACCTCTGCGTGAATCTCTCCTCGCTCTCCGTTCTCTGTCAGTTTTCTCACTCCATTTGGTGCTTGCCTGAGTTCTTTATCTCTTCATTTGATGTTTTAGGGTTTTGGGATTGTTGTTTTTTCCGTCTGGCTTAGTTTTTCGGATCTTTGCTGTGATGGGACGGCGTGGTGCTTCTGCCTAGAGCGCCATTTTGCCCTCACTCTAATTCCCACTTTTCTGACCCCAGAGTGTAAAGATCAGTTGCAATCTGTTATCAGTTTTGTTCCTCTTTGTTCCACTTCTGTTCTGACACAAGCTCCACATGCAGCACTTCTTCCTCTGCCCTAACCACCAGAGCTAGGCCAGACCTGAGAAGTTAAAGGGCACAGTCCTGCACACTGCCAAATCTGCCCAGGATCTCTGACGCCAGCTGCAAGCTTCGGAGTCCCCAGACTCCCCTGACTTTTGCCTTGCTGACAAAATTCAGAGGTTTCCTCTACCCCCTCAGGATACCAGCCATAAGCTCAGGGGTTGCCACTGCCCCTCACTTCTGACCTGCTGGGTCCCACTACTTCTTTGGGTTTGAACATTCACTAGAACCACTCGAGAACTCATGGAAAGCACTATGCTTATGATTACAGTTTTCTTATAGCAAAAAGGATACAAATGAAGAGATGCTTAGGACAAGGTCTGAGAGGGTTCCCAGCGTGACTTTCCATGTCCCTTTCAGACATGCTACCCTCCCACAGGCATCTGTGTCTTTTACCAGCCGGGAAGCTCATGGAGCTTCCCTGTTCAGAGCTTTTACTGGGTCCTCACTACGTAGTCATAATTGATCAAGTCATCCCACACTCCCTGATATCATGAGGTAGTCTTTTTGGCTTGATCACCCCCCTACCCAGGTCACCTCATAGCATAACAAAGATTCTAATCATTTGGGAAATTTCAAGGATTTAAAGTTTATCTCTCAGGAACCAAGGACAAAGACCAAATTCTTTGGGTAAAGTTAGCTGTAAACTCCATAGCACCTTACAGTCTACCTTCAAATATACTTTTTCACATACATGGGAGCCTCTTGGTGGTGCAAACAGTTAATGTTCTTGGCTGCTAACTGAATGATTGGAGGTTCCAGTCTACCAAGAAGTGCCTCAGAGGAAAGTTCTGGAGATTTACATCCAAAAAATCAGCCTTTGAAAACTCTGTGGAGCACAGTTCTACTCTTACACACATGGGGTCCCTATGAGTCAGATTTGACTCAGCAGCAACTGGACACGGATATGAACCTTACAACAGTAAACTGTCTTTTCTCATTCCCATTCTGTGTGCTATTTTTACCATATATTTTACTTCTATATGTATTATAAATATTTTAATGCCTTGTTGTTTTACTTTAACCCATTAAATAAGTTTTACAAATTTTAAAAAGTCTTTTTAAAAGTATTCTTCATGCTCTCCTAGACTACGTTAGCTGTCCTGCCCAGTGCACCCTGTTCTTGGCTCCTATCATGGCCCTTATTCTATTGAGAGTGCCTCTTTAATTGTCAGTCCTGCGCCCGCCCCCCACCCCCTACCCCACTCTCACCACCTCTTAAGCCAAGGACAAGGATTGTTCTTATTTACTATTGTGTCCCTTTCTGGTACATGGGGATGCTCACTCACTATTTCTTGAATGAATAAGTGAGTGAAGAGAACATTTTAGAGTGAAATAAGCATGGCTCAGCATATTAGGCTCTTTCTTAGTTGATTTTAGCATTGGCCTTAACCCGCAGATGAAATGAATAGTGTTGCAACAACTTTTGATTACCTATGATAACTTCATGAGTTTGTCTGTCTCATTTTGCAGTGACTATTAGGAGAAATTAATATCTTATTGTTACATTAAAGTAGCCTACTTTAAATTGTATTCTTGAAACCTTAAGTTCATATTAGAATATATATATTATTAATGTAAAATGAGACTTTTCTTTTTCTGAACAGTTAAATCATTCAGTTGTTCCGGGCCTGTGAAGTTTACCATAGAATGGTATTTGAAGTATCATACCTGTCACAATGAATATTCTGAGCTGGAAGTAAGTAAACACAAATCTTTAATGTATGTAAAGCTATGAAAGAAATATTATGAGTACAAAGATGTATTAGCTCATTAGGTGGGTAGGCTATAAATATAGATTGTAGTTTTAGAAATGCCACCGATTTTTTTTGAGACTTAAGACAGTCCCCAAGTATATGCTTTCTCAGAATACCAACCCTTTAGTTTTCTTATTAGTATCTTGTGAAAAATGTTAATAAGTGTTTAAATAAGACATATAGGAGCCATTGATACAAGCACTATGTTGTTGTTGTTGTTAGGTGCTGTCGAGTTGCTTCTGACTCATAGCAGCCCTGTGTACGACAGAACAAAACACTGTCTGGTCCTGGGCCATCCTTACAGTTGTTGCTATGTTTGATCCCATTGTTGCAGCCACAGTGTTAGTCCATCTCATTGAGGGTCTTCTTTTTCGTTGACCCTCTACTTTTCCGAGGCTGATGTCTTTCTCCAGGGACTGGACCCTCCTCATAACCTGTCCAAAGTATGTAAGATGAAATATCGCCATGCTTGCTTCTAAGGAGCATTCTGGCTGTACTTCTTCCAAGACAGATTTGTTCATTCTTTTGGAAGTCCATGGTATATTCAATATTCTTTGCCAACACCGTAATTCAAATGCATCGATTCTTGTTTGATCTTCTTTATTCATTGTTCGAGCTTTCACATGCATAGGAGGTGACTGAAAATGCGATGGCTTGGATCAGGCAAACCTTAGTCCTTAAGGTGACATCTTTGCTTTTTGACACTTTAAAGAGGTCTTCTGCAGCAGATTTGCCCAATGCCGTGTGTCATTTGATTTCTTGACTGCTACTTCCATGGGTGTTGATTGTGGATCCGAGTAAATGAAATCCTTGGCAACTTCAGTCTTTTCTCCATTTATCATGATATTGCTTATTGGTCCAATTGTGAGGATTTTTATTTTCTTTATGTTAAGGTATAATCCATACTGAAGGCTGTAGTGTTTGATCTTCATCAGTAAGTGCTTCAAGTCCTCTTCGCTTTTAGCAAGCAAGGTTGTGTTATTTGCATATTACAGATTGTTAATACGTCTTTCTCCAGTCCTGATGCTGCATCCTTCTTCATAGGCCAGCTTCTCGGATTATTTGCTTAGCATACAGATTGACTAAGTATGGTGAAAGAATACAGCCCTCATGTACATCTTTCCTGATTTTAAACCATGCATATCCCCTGTTTTGTTTGAACAACTGCCTCTTAGTCTATGTACAGGTTCCTCATGAGCACAATTAAGTGTTCTGGAATTCCCATTGTTTGCAGTGTCATCCATAATTTGTTATGATCCACACAGTTGAATGCCTTTTTATAGTCAATAAAACACGAGTAAACATCTTCCTGGTATTCTCTGCTTCAGCCTAGATCCATCTGACATCAGCAATGATATCTCATTCCACATCTTGTTCTGAACCCAGCTTTTATTTCTGGCAATTCCTTGTTGGTGTACTGCTCAACCACTTTTGAATGATTTTCAGCATAATTTTATTTGCATGGGATATTAATGACATTGTTTGATAATTTCTGCGTTCTGTCAGATCACCTTTGTTTGGAATGGGCACGTATAATCATCTTTTTCAGTTGGTTGGCCAGGTAGCTGTCTTTTCACGAGTGAGCACTTCCAGGGTTGCATCCGTTTGTTGAAACATCTTGGATTGGTATTCTGTCAATTCCTGGAGCCTTCTTTTTTGCCAGTTCCTTCAGTGCAGCTTGGACTTCTTCCTTCAGTACTTTTGGTTCTTGATCATATGCTACCTCCTGAAATGGTTGAACATCAACCAATTTTTTTTAACACAGTGACTGTGTATTTCTTCCATCTTTGTGTGTGTGTGCTTTAGGTGAAGGTTTACAGGGCAAGTTAGTTTCCCATTCAATAGTTATACACACATTGTTCCATGACATTGGTTACAATCCTGTAATGTGTCATCACTCTTACTGTTACCACCCTGAGTTCCCCATTTCCATTTGTCCAATTTTCCTGCCTCTTCCTGCCTTCTTATCCTTGCTTTTGGGTATATGTTACCTTTTTGGTCTCATATAGATCACTGTTTTAAGGAAAACTTTCTTCACGGATGTTGTTGTTTATACTTTAGACCTGTCTATTTGGCTAAAAGGTGGTATCTGGGAATGGCTTCAGTTCCAGGTTAGAAGGGTGTCTAAGGGCCATAGTCTCTGGCGTTCCTCCAGTCTCTTGAACCAGTAAATCTAGTCTTTTTTTATGAATTTGAATTTTGTTCTACATTTTTTCCAACTCTGACTGGGATCTCCTGCTGTGATCCTGGTCAGAGCAGTCAATAGTGGTAGCTGGGCACCATCTACTTCTTCTGGTCTCAGGCTAGTGGAGGCTGTGGTTCCTGTGGTCCGTTAGTCCTTTGGACTAATTGTGTCCTTGAGTGTTTGGTTTTCTTCACTCTCCTTTGCTGCAGATGGAAAGAGACCAATAGTTGTATCTTAGATGACCGTGTGCAAGCTTTTAAGACCTCACACACTACTCACCAGTATAGGATGTAGAACCTTGTCTTTATGAACTATGTTATGCCAGTGACCTAGATGTCCCCTGAGACTATGGTCCTTAGCCTTCAAGACCACTAACTCAGTCTCACGAAGTATTTGGTTATGTCTAGGATGTTTCTGTGACTGTGCCTCCTGTGTGATCTATTGTATATATTAATGTACATGCAGCACTTATAAATATATATATAGAAATATTCATAGCCTAACCTATGTATGCAAATGAGTATACTCGCATACACCCTTTGTACCTATTTGGCATACGTGTATACCTACGTATCCACTCATAAATTATTGTTCATTATTATTGTTGTTGCAGGATTGTATATGTTACAGCATTTACTGTCATTGCCTTTTATTCTTGCATACCTTTCAGTGACTTCCCTTTCCTTGGTCATGTTGTGCTGACTTCCCCCATATTGTGTACTGCCTTTCCCTCCACCAAAGTTAACTTGTGTCTCCTCTCTAGTTAGTGGTTTTCCCCACTCCCCCATTCATCCCTGGTACCATCAAAAAATGTTTCTGTGTGTACACCTTTTCTCAATTATAATAGTAATGTCATAGAACATTTGTCCTTTTGTTACTGTTTCACTCAGCATAGTGTCCTCCATATTCATCCATGTTGTGAGATGTTCCATGGATTTATCATTATTATTTATCATTGGGTAGTATTCCATTGTGTGTATGTGCCACAGTTTATCCACTTGTCTGTTGATGGACACTTAGGTTGTTTCTTTTTGCTAGCGTGAATAATGCTGCATAGAACATGGGTGTGCGTATGTCTCTTCTTGTCACGGCTCTTATTTCTTTGGGATATATACCTGCGAGTGGGATTGCTGGATTATATATTTCTATTTCTAGCTTTTTAAGGAAATGCCGTAGTGTTCTCCATAGCGGTTGTAACATTTTACATTTCCCATCAGCGGTGTATAAGAGTTACCATCTCCCCACAGCCTCTTCAACATTTGTTGTTTTCTGTTTTTTTGTTCAGGGCCATTATTGCTGGGGTGAGATGGGATCTCATTGTAGTTTTGATTTGCATCTATTTAATGGCTAATGATTGAGAGCATCTCTTCATGTGTTATTGAGCTGCCTTAATATCTTCTTTGGTGAAATATGTCTTCATATTCTTTGTCCATTTTTTAATTGGGTTGTTTGTCTTTTTTGTTGTTGAGGTATTAAAGTTTTCTATAAATTTTAGAGATTAGACTCTTGTCTGATATGTCATAGTCAAAAATTATTTTCCCAGTCTGTAGGTTCTCTTTTTATTCTTTTTGTGAAGTTTTTGATGAGTGTGAGTGTTTAATTTTTAGGGGATCCCAGCTATCTAGTTTATCTTGAGTTATTTGCCCATTTTTAGCTATGCTTGGTATTCTGTTTATGCTGTATATTAGGGCCCTTAGTGTTGTCCCTGTGTTTTCTTTCAGGATCTTTATAGTTTTAGGTTTTATGTTTAGATGTTTGGTCTATTTTGAGTTCTTGTGTATGGTGTGAGGTATGGATCTTGTTTCATGTTTCTGCAAATGGATGTACAATTTTGGCAGCACCATTTGTTGAAGAGCCTTTCTCTTGCCCATTTAATGAACTTTGAACCTTTGTTGAAGTTAGCTGTCAGTAGGTGCATGAATTTACTTCTGGGTCCTCAATTCTGTTCCATTGGTCTTTATCTCTGTCGTACCAATACCAGGCTGTTTTGACTACTGTGACTGTATGGTAAGTTCTGAGACTGGGTAGTTTGAGGCCTCCTACTTTGGTTTTCTTCAGTAATACTTTGCTTATTCAGGTCCTCTTTCCTTTCCATATAAAGTTGGTGATTAATTTTTTCATCTCGTTAAAGAATGCCGTTGGAATTTGGATTGGGATTGAATTGTATCTGCAGATTGCTTTGGGTAGTATTGACATTTTCACAATGTTGAGTCCTGTTTTCCATGAGCATGGTGTGTTTTTCCATTTATGTAGATGTCTTTTGGTTTCTTGCAGTAGTATTTTGTGGTTTTCTTTCTATAGGTCTTTTATATCCCTAATTAGATTTATTCCGAAGTATTTTACCTTTTGGGAGAGTTTTGTAAATAGTATTGTTTTCCTGATTGCCTTTTCGAAGTTCTCTTTGGTGGTGTAGAGGAATCCAGCTGATTTTTGTTTGTTGATTTTGTATCCTGCTACTTTGCTGAATCCTTCTATTCCGGTAGCTTTCTTGTGGAATCTTTTCCATGTATAGGAGCATATTATCTGCAAATAGGGATAGTTTTATTTCTTCCTTACCAATTTCAATGCCCTTTATTTCTTTTTCTTGCCTTATTGCTCTATCTAGGACTTTCAGCACAATGTTGAATAAGAGTAGTGGTAAAGGACATCTTTGTCTGGTTCCCATTCTCAAGGGGAACGCTTTCAGTTAGTTTCTCTTTGTTTAGAATATTGTTGGCTGTTGGTTTTGTATATATGCACTTTATTATACTGAGGAAT